TTAATTGAATACATACAGTATATGTGCATATGTATATTTAATACAATTTGAAATCAGCTTTTGTTTCCTTCTCGTGTATCATCTGAAGAGATTTATTATCTAATGGAAGCCTTTACTTCTAGGACACACTTAGTTTTAACCTTCTTTGGACAGTGATTTTTTATCCATCTATAATAGAAAAATAATTTATGATGAACCCCAGGTTCTTATGTGATCTAGTAGAAACTGGGTCATATTTTTTTAGTATGATACCTTCCAGCAACCACACCTAGTTAAAGGAATTTTACTGGTATATATTTTCCATTGCCCAAAATAGTCATTCCCCAAAAATTTTTTTGCTTCACAATAGTGAAAGGGTATCAGAAGAGTGGTGGGGATCCTTGTCAATTGCAATATCCTTTAACAACTTCTGGGGAAATGCATTTTCAACTGTAATCAAAGGGTTGGAGCTTAACATGAACTAGAGATCATTTAGTCTTATTGCCTAACCAGAATAAAAAGGAGTTCTTGATCTTGAACTTTGCCTGATCAGAATGATAGGAGAGAAAGATCTCAGCTTGAACAAATAGTAGCTTTTTCATTATCTGAGGACTTGTTGCTTGTATCTTATTGGTTTCATGAAACTTGATATGTAGACTAATCCAATTGGAGGAGTGGAATAGATACGGGGTACCAATTAACTCTTTTAATTATCAATAATATTATCAGAACATGTGAGGTGACCAGTAAGAGCTTATTTACATTCAGTAATTAACATATTTCATGTCAATCAATCAAAAACCTAGTAATCTTATGCTATCAGAAATTCAGGATCAAACTAAGGTAGGCAAAATCTCTCAAGAAAAACTATGAAAAATAATAAACACTTTAAGAGAGATAGAAAAGCTTGAGAAGGTGAATAATAAGTCTTGCCCTGCTGCCAAAATCTCTATTTCTATCACTTCAGCTCTATAAGATAATACTTCACTTGTCAGTCTTTTTATTTCCTGGAATCTTCTTGTTCTTAATAGAAGAAGTGTATACTTGAATCTTTTAAGGTTATTAGAGGCCCAAGTTTTTATTAAAAGGAGTTTATAAACAAATAAGGGAGGATAAAAAAGATATATGAAGACAAACTTCAAGTTGTTTTAATGAAAGTATAAAGACTTTATTAGCAAGAAAGTATAAAACTTCTTGTGAACATCTTTTTTGTGTATGGTTAGAAGATCAGCAGAAAGAGTTGTTAATTTATAATTATATTCTATAGCTTAATTTTTATCAAAAAGTTTATAATTATCTATAATATTATTTATTTTTTTATAATAATCAACACAACTCATCATTATACTAAAGTACTTTAAAATTGAATTTAGAGAACAATATTTTACTTCTTTAATGAATTGATATATATACTTCAATCTTCTAGATTCATTATCAATAGTTTGTCACTATAGATTATTCAATAACTATGAATTACTGAGTTAAAAATGAAAAAAGAACAATTCAAGATTTTATCAAAAAAATCTGAAATAAAGTTATTCTTTTCTCAAAAGAACTATTTGATTGAAATATTTTTTTTACTTTATTTAAATTTTAGAAAAAAATTTTCTTTATTATTACCTATAGTATTAGATAAGTCAATTTAACTAGTTCTTTATTTAAGTAAATATTGAATTGGGATATCTCAAAAAAAGCATTCAAACCTTAGTTTTTATTTATAAAAGTTTTATAACTATTTGAGAAGTTTAGAAAAGAGATAATAAAATTTGCAATTCATATTACTTATCACTTTATTCTTTAATATTATGGATGTATTCTTTAAGAAACTTAAATTTTTAAAAAACAAATATTTCTAAAATATTTTTTTAATTATTAATGATATTATTAAGGTATATAAACATAATTAATAAGAATTTGTTTATATTTCAAAAATCAATATGTTTCATATTAGTCAATTATCTTTGGTAAGGATTTGTGTTATTCAAAATTCAGAGATAAATTGAAATAAGTAAAATTTTTTAGAAAATTATAAAAGTAAAAGTTTTAAGAGAATCAAAATAATCAAAAAGAGAGAAAATAAATATTTTTACTGCAAAAACCTTTATAAATCTTTTACTTCAAAGATTGAAAAATTTTTTAAATACTTTACAATCAGTTTTTCTTCCTTTGAAAATTTTTTTGTTATTAATATTAAAGGTGTTACTTGATTTTTTTTAATTATTAGAAGCCAAATTTTTGGATAAAAAGATTTATAAATAATAGAAAAAGAATAGAAATAAATTATGAAATCAAATTTCAAGATGTTTTAAGAAAATATTAAGACTTTATTAGTAAAGAAGTGACAAAACTTCTTGCAAACATCTTTTTTATATATGATAAGAGGATTAACAGAAAGAGATTTCTTTTACAATTAATAATGATAAAAAAATTTGTTATAAATTCTAGAAAATTCCAATTCGTAAATTATACACATTGTGTGTTACAATTTTTCGTGCCACGCACACAATCTCCATTTATAAGTTTTAAAGCGCAGCTTGTTTTTTTTTTCCTTTTTACTTAAAGAAATCATGCCGGGACCTGGTCAAGACTTTTTTCATAACGTTAACAAGTCCTGCACTTTTGATTTTGAGGATTACATCAAGACCGAGCTAGGACTGGGAGCCACAAGTGAATCAGGTATGACTACTCAGAATAAGGAGTAAAGTCAAATAATTCTACTTCCTTGCTAACCATTTTCATCTATCTATCTCATATGCCATACGACCTCGATTTAATGTTTCTCTTAATTTTTATTTTACGACAGTAATTTAAGCAGTATAATTAACCAAGCATTCTATTTCTCTATATGATTTTTAAAAAGACACGATCTGTCAAGATTTTCTAAAGGGGACATGTACGAAAGGTACGAAATGCGAATTCAAACATACCACAAATTACAGGGAAAAAGCAGTGGTCTGCAAACATTGGTTGCGTGGACTCTGTAAGAAAGGCGATCAATGTGAGTTCTTACATGAATTCAATATGAGAAAGATGCCCGAGTGTTGGTTTTACTCGAGATACGGAGAATGTAGTAACGAGGATTGTATGTATTTGCATATTGATCCTGAAAGTAAAATCAAAGAATGCGCTTGGTACGCGAGGGGATTCTGTAAACATGGTAAATACTTTGATCCAATACATCATCACATAGTCAACTACATAATCACAACACTGATATAAAGATATATTTTTAAAGGACCTCACTGTCGACACAAACACGTAAGAAAGGTTGTTTGTCAGTTATACTTGAGTGGGTTTTGTCCCAAGGGATTGGAATGTCCCAATGGACAGTAAGTTGCTTTCGTGATGAATAATTTGTTTGATTGATGATTTGTGTTTGCTCAACGATTGTGCCTTTTTAGTCCGAAATATGAACTGCCAACTGCTCAGCGTGATCATGAGGGACAAGATGATGATTCGCATCATAGGAATCATGGGGAGCACGATGAGGCATGTATCAATTGGCCTACTTTTCGGCAGCGGTTTGATTTTAACACCAATCTACAATTCTGCTCTTTTTTTTTTTTTTTTAGGTCATACAACAACGCCCACACAGTAGTTTCCGTTCGTTATCAGAAGTTACGTGCTTCAAGGTAAAGTTATTTTCACTTACGCATCCTATCATATTATTGGAAAACCTATGACTGATGTCGAATGGAATGACGTTTCTTCAGTGTGGTGAGAAAGGTCACTTTGCAAATCGGTGTCCCAACAACCAATTAAAACGATACTAGATCCATTGTTGATTCTGTTTTAATAATTATACGTGTGATATTCGGCTTCCTCCACTGAATCGATGGTTAGAAAACGGCATTTCTGTGAATAATTAATTATATTATTAGGTATAGAGGTTGCCTTTAATTAGTTTTTGTTTCCCATAAGACGGCAAATTATAACGGATAGAAGCGACGCATTTCGAAGGAAAATATACGCGAACTCCATTAGATAATCATATACATCTTATGCTTCTTAATTGCGTCGCACCACACGTTGCAATCCGATCTCGTGATTGCTGCGCCATCAGGCTCTAATAATTCACTAGAATAAAAAAAAATTGTAATTTATGAATGAACTCTCGTTGTTCAAGTGACCAGCGGTATATCCGCAGGACTTCAGACAACCCGCAATGACGCCATTCATAGAAAAGAATGATTTGTCATTGGAACGGGTGCGCATTGTGCGAGAGAGATGAAAATGTGATTAGGTGCTACCCCGTTACGTACAATGAAAAATGAGATTACCAAATATGATCAATAAGATGGAGATAATCTTGCACCTTAAATTATTGCTATCGTAATATTTTAAGGTGTCACGTGGTTTTACGCGGTTTTTCGCATCGTCGTTATACCCCTAGAATTTTCTTATCATTCACAAATGATGCCAATTAAGGAAAAAACTTTATCTCTTCTTATGCATGCGTTGTGGACAGCTTTCCTTTATTTTCGAAACTCTACAATCCCCGTGGCAAGGATTAACCAAGAATCTCTTGGATAGGTGCTTTTTTTGCAGTAGATCAAGAACACGAATATTATTAAAGTTTTACAATTTCGCATGTTAAATGTGCGCACTTGATTGAAGAGGCTTTTCACATGACATTCTTTAAAAAGGTGCGTAACGCACTTAGGTACTGCACGGAGGTCACGTAACCTGTTCGAGAGGTGGAGATTGATAAGATGCGTGTCATCAGCATCGCATTTTAACTCGATGAGGATTACTTTCTTGTTGTCGAAATCGGTATCGGGCTTAATTATGAGTAATAATTGTAAATGATAGATGAAAATCTTCCTAGCGAGAAGTCACCTTTGACACTTTCCTTTTCTATCGCCCACTTCTCTTTATTACTCTTGGCGTCATCATCACTTTTTTTTTTGCCCATAACAAATGTGTGACCATTTTATTAAAATAATCTTAAATAAATCAAACGATACATCGAGGTGAATCGTTGGCCGACACAATTTAAGGGGTCAGTTTGAATAAAAAAAAAGAGTATTTTTCGTGATCTCTCAACTAATTTATGCAATTAATTTTTTTCGGTAAAATTAAGAAAAAAAAATTTTTTTTTTTTTTCGCACTATCAATAAAAAATAAAAGAATCGGAGACATTTTATGATGTTTGATGAACATCACCGTGCAACTTAAGAAAGAGGATTCTGTAGGTAGACATATCTTGAGGGAGTCGAATCATGCATATTGGCTGAAAAACCAAAGTGTAGTATTCTCGATATGCAATGTTGTGTTGCGAACTGTTATCTAATGTATCAGTCATGTCGTAGCAATATGGCGTAATCATACATGCCACATTAACACAGGCATATCTATTTACCTCGCGTTCAGATGTGCCATACAGTAAATAATAGTTATAACAGTTGTGAGGAGGAGTGGCTGATGAATTTTTTTTTTTTTTTTTTTTAATTTTTTCGCACAATACGCCGTTACGTAAATCTGCTGTAAAACCTCGGCAAAGGGAATATTCGGAGAAAAACAATAGAGCTTAAAAAGAAATTACATTGAGGAAACGTTATTTTCGAGAAAGGTTATATTCGGCTTGCGCATCAAATCAAGCGAGTGACCCTCTCCCATGTCTCTACGGTAACTCGAAATCCCATGCAATTGGGCGAAAAAAGTTTTTAACGATTACGCACGGGCTTTCTTTGTGCCATTTTCGTTTGCAACAAAGAGCAATCCAGCCGTTTGCCTGGTTATTATTAATAGCCAAGACTCTTACCATCCTCTTGCCAAGTCCATTTCTTCAAAATTCTGCTGTTCGCCGAAATACGAGCGACGCAGATGAAACACACGCATACACCCTAGTTAGTACGCTATTGCTTGACGCCCACCCGGTTGTCTAGTGAAATTTTGAGCTTAGGGTGACAAGATTCTTTTGATAGGTAAGATTTACGAAATGCTGTATCAACCCATCGTGTCCTGGGCGCGTACGATGAATTCATGTGTCCACACAATTATGTCGTTTGAGAATGAATTCAAGTGTCTAGAGAATGTTGGAATGGATGATACAGCGAATTAATGCTATCCAGTGTTTTTCTCAAATGTCATTCGCCAAAAGATAGCTAGTCCAAACACAGCCTAATAGCGATGACGTAACCCAGAAAATCAATCAGACGCCAGTTCTTATGCACTCTTCTCGTAATTCAATCCACAGTATCGATATTAAAAAAATTCATTGACACTCACTTTTTGATATATTCTACATACGCATTGTGAATATGTATACATTACTAAAAAGTCGAATGTGTGTGCAACTTTGCCGTTTTAGTGAACCAATAAACGATACAATATACTACCAAGAATATATATATACGCACAGTATACAATGTGATTATTTAAAAACGAACCGAGTACTGTATACAATATATACAATAACTACATAATCGGTTAGAGGTGTATGTACAGTATATACGGAATGTATTGTGCTGTAGCGTGTTTTGCAATATATATATATAATCTTTCTTGATTTCAAAAAAAAAAAAAAAAAAATTATTATTATTATTATTATTTTCGTTTTTAGCCTTTCTTTTCCTACCCGAAATCATACATGCAAAGCCCAAAAACGTTATTTCTGAAAGGTCACGAAAGAAACGACAAAAAACGAATTATACAAATTGCGAATACCTAAAAAAGAGGATGCCGAGTGAGCAGAGTTCGCCGAAAGAACGGATTGTGTTGAACGTCGGTGGGATAAAGGTGTGAAATTTGCTTTCTTCTGTTACCTCCCGGGTGATTCATTCTGCGTCGGTCGGCCGGCTCACCCGCTTATCTACAATTGCTTTCTTTTAGTATGAAACATATCGATCAACGTTGTTGGCTTACCCGGACACAATGCTGGGTACAATGTTCGGCGAGAGGAATAAAGAATTATTGCACCCCGTAAATGGGAATGAATATTACATTGATCGAAACGGAAGATTGTTTTATTGTATATTGCAATTCTACCGTACCGGAAAAATACCTTGCATCGACAGAGGTGATTGCCATTTCGTCATCAATATTGTTGTGAGGGAAATTTGACCAGTGCTAACCCGTAACATGATTTCACTAGTAAAATGCGGGAAACCGTTAACGCAACAGCAATTGGACGAAGAGTTGGATTACTTCATGATTCCCCGACCCCCTAAACCCTCACCGCCTCTCAAATCCACGCGAATTCAAAAATTATCTCTACGGAGTAAAATCATCTCATCCGAGCTTGACAAATTTGTTTTCGCCCTCAAGTCCGCGCTGAGCACGGTGATCAACTACTTCCAAAAACGCTTCATAATGTCCAAGGGTGGTCAGGGGTTCGATATCACACTGGAGATTTCGTTTTATGCGTCGGGTCGTATACCCCAGTTGATCACCGTGTTGCCCACCATCATCGGAAAATCGCCGATCCCCCTTATCACTCCGATATTTAGTGAGTACACGTTTGGCACCAAGGCATACGTGCTGTTGAATCATTTCGGAGACAACATTGGCGATTACTTGGAAGCGACCTACCCAGGATTATACTGGGATCTCCAGTGGTTGGAACATTGCAGTGATGGTACTAATGGACCGGAGTCTGTGGACGGGATGTACCGAGTGAAGATGTCGTTGTGCGATAGATTTGAATACGGGGACGTTATTAGCAATTGTTGTTTGAACGCCACTTCTCTGAAGTGTTATTAGGGCACGGAAAAAAAAAAAAACATTTTGACTTTTTTGTATAAAACGGAGGTTGGGTTGTTTTATTATTTATTTATGTAATTATATTAGCTTAATATTGGCATTACTTTTTCAATGTTTAATAATTGGCAAAATTGTAGAAACTTTTGTTTATAGCTTATATAGATAGATCTTTCTTTTTTTCTTGTAACTAGTTTTTCATTTCATTTCATTTCATCATAATTATCTTCCTGCATCCAAGCCCCTCATATTCTGATAGTGGAACAAAAATTCTCACCCCTCCGGTAGCGAAAAAGATTATTATAAGAGAAGCACCCTTTGCAACTGATCCACTTACACCCCACAAGAATTAACAAGTACACGCTTGTCATCCGTTCATTCGTTCACACACATATTTATACGAGCTCATATATTCATGCAGCCGAAAATTATGTTTTTACACTTAAGCACCTCAAAACACGCAAAGCTAAGCTTTCCGATCCTTTTCTTAAACAACATTCAAAATATTATTACGTATGTATGTACATCGTTAATTCACCGTCACGAAATAAACCTATGAAAAGTAAAGCATTATTTGCAAAAAAAAAAAAAAAGATCCGACCTGTTTTATTGTCGATCCGAAAGATAGTCCACACACAGCACATCAGATGCTCAACTTGTGCAGGGAGCGCATTTTACCAGATAGTTCATTCTCGTGATTCTAAGCTTTGTTAGGGGTGCTTATAATGGTGAAACATTGGATGGTTACGCGTTTCCGTGCTCTACAATGTTGTTGTTGATATCCATTATTTCCCTTTCGTATGACCAATACAAACAAAAATATCATCCATCCATCCATCCATCTTTCATCAGAAATTGCAAATTTTGATCAATGCATAAACACGCATTTCTTTTATTGTATGTACATTTGCCGTTGCCAACAATTCTTTCTTAAGAGACCGGTTTTATTTATCTTTAGCATCGGTTCTTTTTCCAAATTTTCTCGTCACCTTTATTAAAACAACTTTAATTATCATGTTTATATATTATCAAATTTTAGGTTTGCAATTATCTGAAATTACCAGAATTGGCCCAACTTTACAAGAAAACGATTGCTTTATAAAGATTGCGTAGGTGTAGAATGCGGTTTCATTGGTAGACGAGAGAAAACCAAGACCCGATGCAATGATACAAATATTTACACCGAATGTCGCTCGAAAAGATCGAAACTACCGTTATGCACGTACATTAAAACAAAACCTAATCATCTCACTTAATATGTGAGTGCATGCACAATTGTTACATGAACTCTTTATATGGACTTTAATAAACTGACTTTTCTCTTGTGCGTATTATGCACGGTACGTGTTGGCCGTGTAAAGCCCTTGCCCACGATGCACGTATTACAAATTCTAAGCATCCAATGCAAAGTTTATCATTGCATCATTCTTTGTTTGCTTATGTGGGTAGGGTCTATATGTTTGAGGTTTCCATATAAATAATTGATAATTTAACAGATGCGTAATACGAATTGATTACAAGAGGTTTTAGAGTGAGTGCACAAGCACATACGGCATATCAGCAATGAAGTGTGCTTTTGGACTTTTAACCATTCGACAGGAGATCTCATTTGTTCCTAGGCGCTTTCCAATGAACTCCTAAATTTTCCATGAAATGTGAAGCCCTTTTTGGTCTCTATGCACAATGATGAAAAGTCGCAATTAACATAGGGTAATGATGACACAAGGATTAAACCTGTTCCTCGAGCTCCCGATAAACTTTACAGCAAATACGCAAGCCTTAACGACACACAAACAAATGACGATAAATGAATGCCAGGAACTTCACAAGCATTGCGTATAGTTTCTCGCAAAACCGTTACGTAATTAGATCACGTGCCATAAAGCACCACATTTAGTCACATGCTGATGCATACACATACATTTTATGATTATTGTCTTGATATCCTCTTTACTTGAGATAAAAAAAAAATTTTTTTTTTTTGTATTTTCCAGTATTTTTTTATAAGAATTTTGGGTTCGACCTATAACTGTTCGAATCTTAGAATCATAGCAAATAAAAAGAAGCAATACCAGATTGTCGTCAAGTGCAATTTAAAAGATTACTATATAGCAAAAGGTTGCGAACATGATAAAGAATTTCATCTCGAATTTTAACCTCCCCACCGGCTCTACAACAAATCTCGCCGCAAGTCTTAATAACAGCGACGAGCGCGTGAGTGACATCACCGCAAACGACGATAAGAGTATCGATAGCGGTCATGATTATAACAATAGTGTCCACATTGAGAACTTTGCTGCAAGGAATAAAATTGTTCTCAATGTCGGTGGTATAAAGGTAAGTTGAGTATTTGTTTTGTGTGCCTTCGGTATCAATAGTCATCAGGTCTCTCGTATGCATGTAACCAAGATTGTTGCAGTACGAAACGTATAGGTCAACATTGACCTCGTATCCAACCACGCTGCTCGGATCAATATTCCGTTGTGATGATAATCAGAACCCTTTTTTTGATCCAGCTCACGAGAATGAATTCTTCATAGACCGTGATGGTCATCTGTTTCATTATGTAATGCAATTTTATCGTACTGGGAAAGTGCCCGTCATCGACCAAAGTATCTAATCTACTCTCTCATTACCTTACCATTGATGTTCCGTCCTTTCCTTTTTTTCATCATTTTGAACACTAACGAACTTTCTCCTTTCGATCACTCCATAAAAACAAAGCCATTGGTTTAATTCCCATAACGGAATCTGAGCTAGAAGATGAATTGGAATTTTTTAAAATCCCCACTTATCCCCCATCACAATTCTCAGCTACTACGCTATCGCCAAACCAACTTTCACTTCGCCACAAAATGATCGCGTCGGAGATCGATTCGTTCATAAAGACACTCACCGATGCCCTACTCACGATCTCCTCACAATTTAAAAAAGATTTCTTCTTCAGACGACAATTCTTAATTAGATTAGACATCACGTTTCATCACAATGAACGAGTAACAGATTTTAATATAATGCCAAGTATTAATAGCGCCTTGAAACAGCAGCTAATGAAAAATTTTGAGAGTTCCGCTGCGTTGGGTTACGCAATCTTGGATAGATTTGGTGACGAGATAGGCAGGTACATGACTACTACCGTGCAAGGGTGCACTTGGGAATGCAATAGGAATGAAAATTTTGGTTGGGGGGGTATGCATAAATCGTACAGGATTAGAGTCGGCGTGGAGAACAGCTTTGAAAATGAGGAAGACATAATAGGCAATTGCTGTTTGGCTGCCGTTGGCTCTGAATCCGAACTCCTTAGTCCTGCCGACTCGATATTGAAGGATTAAACTTTATTTGTGAAGACAATAAATGTTTTTGGACCGAGTATTGATAGGTTCACCGCAGTTATTGCATAGGTTCCCTGTATATTTATTAATGCACGATCCAATCACGAAAAATGTGATAAATTTTGTTCGTTGTATATTGCATTGTATTGAAGGTACTGTACGCTTTTCGCGTTTGTAAAATTATTAAAAAAAAAAACTGTGAATTTTTTTTTCTAATTTAATCCCGTTCTTGCCCTTACGGGAGTGTTTGTTTATAGCCTGGGCTTGGAAGTACTGTACATAAACACATACTGTATTTATTTTTATATACTAATTAAATATTTAATGAAAAAATTATCCTATAATAAGCTATCACTCAAAGCTTCCCAAGATCTAAACAGCCTAATGTACATTAGTTTATAAACAACAATCATTAGAAAAACATATGACAAGCAAAATATTTAAGTAATATAGATTAATGCAAATAGCAAAAAAAAAAAAAAAAAAAACATCATATACTAGATACTATATTTAAACTATTTGATAAATATAATTAGCAAAGAAAACTTTAAGTAATCCAAACTATTTATAATACAGTTATTATTTAAGAAAATACTTTATATCCTATTGGTGATTTAACAAAATGACTTATTTTAAACAGCTTAATTGCAAAAATTTTGAATATCAATTGAATTATTTTTATCAAAGTTATAGTTCTTAATTAATACATCCTATATTTATTGACTTAAAAACAAAAAAAAATAATTTTTTGACTTTTTTTTTCTAAAGACTAATATATAACTCTTATCAAACTTGAAAAATAATTTAATTTTTCTTTTTAATATATATAAAAAAATACAAATCTATTTAATGTGGATTAAATCTTAAAAATATTTTATAAAAACATTAAAATAGAAATTCAATTAATCCAATTAATTAAGATTTAAGATAAAAAATTGAAAAAGGAAATCAAAATAATAGAAACTCAAGAAAAAAAAAATTATGGGTGTTAATATAGTTGAATAATTATTTTGTATTTAAGAAATAGACTTAAAACTTTTAATATTAATTTATTCTATATTGATAAAATAGATAATTATAAACTAAACATTTTTACAAATCTATTTAACAAAAAATTATTTAAGAAATAAAAGAAAAATAATTAAAAAATTTAATAATTCCCTTTATTAATATAAATTACAATTATGCTAAATATAAAATTAAAATTAAATATTATTAAATAAATATTTATAGTTATTTTCAAAAGTTTGAGTCTACTTATTATATTTTTATTATAAATTTCAACTTTAACTATTTTTAAATCCATAATTATACAATCAAAAATGATAAAATTTATATATATTACAGTATATCTTAATATTAGTTTTATTAAATTTTTTTTCAAAAAAATTTATATGTATAATTTTTAAAGTTTTATTATTTGTTA